GGACCTCATGGAGCTGGTGTGCTAGGTGAGTCAAAGTCATTCATCTTTAATAGTTGTATCTTTTGATGAGGTAAGAAAGATAAAAGATCCTTTGCACCTTTCTCTAATCTGGTGCCTTTCGGGGGGGGGGGGTCAGCACCTTCTAGACCAGGGGTATGCAACCTTGGCTCTTTTATGACTCGTGGACTTCAACTCCCAGAATTCCTGAGCCAGCATGGCTCAGTCTCCCTTTCCCCTCAGCATGGCTGGCTCAGGAATTCTGGGAGTTGAAGCCCACGAGTCACAAAAGAGCCAAGGTTGCCTACCCCTGCTCTAGACCATCATGGCTAAGGGCCTGGAATTTTGAAAATTTGCTACAGATCTTCAGTTGGAGTTTGTCGTAGGTCTCCTGCCCCCATATAATATCCTTCAGTGGTCCGGCTGTCCATAGAAGCTTGCCTCATCTTGTTCCAGAGCTTTGGATGTCTTTCTCCTTTGGCAGGGATTCATCTGGAGGGTCCATTCATCAGCAAAGAGAAGAAGGGGGCTCATCCGGAAAATTACCTCCGTACTTTTGAGTCGGGAGCCTTTAAAGATTTACTCGCCACGTATGGGAGCCTGGACTGTGTCCGGATTATCACCTTAGCACCTGAGATGAAACGTAGCAGTGAAGTGATCCGGGAGCTGACCAAAAGAGGCATCTGCGTATCATTGGGTAAACTTTTGTCCCTGGGGACTGATAGCCAAATCTGGTCCTAGGTTCTGCCTCAGTTTACCTTCCCAATAAGCAACCAAGTCGGAAGGTCATTTAAAAGTCGTTTATTAGGGCACCCTAAAAAAATGGGATCTCTGTATGAAAAAGGAGAGAAGCTTGAGCCCCAGGTTTCATTCCTTTTCATAGTTCACACAAAACGAAGAAACATCCAAGAGGAAAGTTGATTGGACAGGATAAAAGTAACCTCCCTTTTGCATAGGAAATCAGTTACATGTAGTCAAACGTGTTACATGTTTGCATCCCATAATATCACACATATTCATTAAAAGGAGGTTGATGTCAGAAGGGGTGTACATTGTAAGGAAAAAGGTTGTTTGGAGTTCACAAAAGAGAGAAACCAGACCCCTGATTTGTACTAACAAACTTTTTTCTTATCCGGAGCTGGTCTCCAGCCTGTTTATCAGTTTAGGAATGTTAAAAGCTAGTAAACCTGAACATCATTTTAAAAGAGGGAATTATGTTAGCTAGCAATTTACAAAATCCATGTCATGTTCCCCTCAGTACTGAAGGATTGAGGTTTAGGATTCAGAAGTTCAGCCGGGACACCATGCCGGGGGAGGCATAGGTACATTCCCAGCAAATCACAAGGTCACCAAGGTGATCATCCTGTTTCATTATCACAGTACTACAGTGTGCACTTCCATACTTGCCTCAGGATAGAAGCTGTGGCACTTTCATAGTGATGTTATCCTGCATGTGTCATTTTTGACCTCCCTAAAGACAGCAGCCACAATGGGAATGTTAACAATATCCCCTATGTGGCTAGAAGGAATATTTAGTTTGGAAGTAATAATCCCGAAAGTGGATCTGTTTTATTCAGTCCATCAAATGTCAGGTCAGGTTAGATCCTGTTAGTCATAGCAGGTCACCCAGTTGGGCAAAACTAGCAAAAAGTTTGCATTTTCTTTCTCATTCCCTAGCCAGCCTGCTTTGAAAGTTTGAAAAACTCTCTTCTAGATGATTCAATACGCCAGAAAAGACCCCAAAGGAACATGATGTACAGTTCTCTCCATTTCTTTCTAGGTCATTCTGTGGCTAATTTATCTCAGGCTGAAGAGGCTGTTTGTCAGGGAGCTACCTTCATTACTCACCTCTTCAATGCCATGTTACCTGTGAGTAGTACCTAGGCAAGTTTCCATTTCCAGCATCCTAACCGAGTGGTTGCCAGTTACTTTTTTCAGCACTGTTGTAACTTCAGTCGGCTGCTAAACAAATGGTTTGTAAATTGAGGACAGAATTCACTCCTGGGGTTTGGAAAAGCCACTGTTCCACAAAATTCTGGGTTGTGATTTCTCCTCTGAAGAGACTGCCCAGGTCATATGGTAATAATAATAATAATGATGATGATGATGATGATGGAAGGGATCTTGGAGGTCATCTAGTCCAACCCCCTGCTCAGGCAGGAAACCCTATACCATTTCAAACAGATGATTGTCCAATCTCGTTTTAAAAACCTCCAGTTCTGGAGCACCCACAACCTCTGGAGGTAAGCTGTTCTACTGATTAATTGTTCTCACTGTCAGGACGTTTCTTCTTAGTTCTAGATTGCTTCTCTTCTTGATCAGTTTCCATCCCTTGTTTCCTGTCCTGCCTTCAGGTGCTTTGGAGAATAGCTTGACCGCCTCTTCTTTGGGGCAGCTCCTGAGATACTGGAACACTGCTATCATGTCACCTCTCATCCTTCATTAAACTAGACATAACCAATTCCAGTCTAGCCAAGAAATGGAACAGTAGGTTTTGTAGTCCTTCTTCCTAATCCATGGACTTACTGCCTTGTGTCCTAACATTCCTTGTGCAGTTCCACCATCGAGACCCTGGGATCGTGGGGCTTCTCACAAGCGACAAGATCCCTCCCAATCAGCAAGTGTTTTACGGCATGATCTCAGATGGGATCCACACAAATCCTGCCGCTCTGCGAATCGCACACCGGGCTCACCCTCAAGGTCTGTCTCCACAAGGAAGACCCTTCCCCCCGAGATGAGAAGGGGCATCTTTTTAGTCAGCTTGGTCCACTGTTGGGAGGGTTTTGGTAAAAAAGATGGAGGACACCAAAGAGAGTACAGTTCAGTTCACTCAAAGTAAGCCATGGTTTGTTTTAACATTGGTTTGAAGACATAATAATAATAATAATAATAATGTTGGAAGGGACCTTGGAGGTCATCTAGTCCAACCCCCTGCTCAGGCAGGAAACCCTATACCATCACACTTAATGTGATCACGTTTACATATTTTACATAAGCTGCAAATGATTGGGTCCATTCATTGGGGTGCCTGAAAGCCAGATTAACCATATGTTGGCAATTACTGAAGTGATTTTCAGGTGGAATTAAGAGGTCCAAATTATCCCTTCTTAGGTCTGGTCCTGGTGACAGATGCCATCCCAGCAATGGGACTTCCCCCTGGCAGACACACTCTGGGCCAGCTGGTGGTAGAGGTAGAAGGTGCAAAATCCTACATTGCAGGTAAGGGCACTCCTGGGCTGAAATCTCAGTTGGCCACTCAAATAGGTGGATGGGCTGATTTTTCCCTAAGCTCTTCCCCAAGACCCAGAAGGGTCTTGTGAGAACCTGTGAGATGCACTATAGTTCCCATCATCCCCTATCCAACTGTCTTTGCATGTAAAGCTGATCATCATCTTCTTTCTCCTCCTCCTCCTCCTCCTCCTCTTCTTTCCAGGTACCAAAATACTGAGTGGAAGCATCTCCACCATGGACACCTGTGTCCGACATTTCAGGGATGCCACTGGTAAGGAGAGTCTGTCTTACTAGGACAGAGAGTTGCCATCTGCTGGGGAACCAGATCTGCTGAGGATTTATTTCTACCCCCCCCCCCAAAAGGTGGCCCTTGTAACGACTCCATGTCAGGTGCGAAAGTTCAGGTCCTCAAGTGAAGGTTCAATTCCCACACAGGAATTCTCTGGTTGGGGAATTTTAGGATTGAAGTCCACACATCTTCAAATCCCCAGCGTTGAGAAGCCATGGCCTAGACACACTGTCAGTCATAGATTCTCCTGCCTGTTCAGAAGTGATATAGAATGGACAAGGGTTTCATTGTCTAAGTGAAGAACTCTTGATGCTAACTAAGAAACAACTCCCCTTTCTGTTTTGCAGCTTGTTCATTAGAAACAGCCCTGGAGGCTGCCTCTCTGCACCCTGCTCAGCTCTTAAATATCGAGGACCAAAAGGGAACCTTGAGTTATGACACCGACGCAGGTATTTTTGCTCTTGTAAAGATTGAATTTGGATCACACTGTTTCCAGTTCAGCATGGAATCCATTGAGAATCCTGTCAGATAGGCTGAGCTGAAAATAAAGGGCTGGGCTAAAGTCACCCAGAGATCTTCTGGGGCTGAAGGGTGATTGGATCTTGTTCTCCCTGGTTCTGGTCCAGCAGTACCTTCATTACTACTTCAAAGGTTGGGAATCCACACCACAAATCTCTTATCCTCTTGTTCTACCTTCCATCCTTTGGATCAGGAGTAGGCAACCTTGGCTCTTTTATGACTGGTGGACTTCAACTCCCAGAATTCCTGAGCCAGCATGGCTCAGCATGGAAACCTCCTTTTCCCCTCAGCGTGGCTGGCTCAGGAATTCTGGGAGTTGAAGTCCACGAGTCATAAAAGAGCCAAGGTTGCCTACCCCTGCTTTAGATGTTAGGTGTGTTGCAAGGATTGCAACCTCCCTGCCTGTGGTATTCATGGAATTCTCTCCCTGGAGAGGCTCATCTGCCTCATCCTTCTCTGCTGAATGAAGAATTATGAGAGATGTAGTTGAACCGATTGTGTGAATTTCAGTTGGCGTTGGCTGAAACAGCTATGTCCATCTGTCGATGGAGATTCTCAGTCATCCAGGTCATAGTTATCCCAAAGGTGCTTTTTCACGAGGTGACTGGACTTCTTTGTTTTTCTTTGAAGACGTTTCGCTTCTCATCCAAGAAGTTTCTTCAGCTCTGACTCCCCCACCATCCAGTCAGAGCTGAAGAAGCTTCTTGGATGAGAAGCGAAACGTCTTCAAAGAAAAACAAGGAAGTTATCTTTGGGATAGTTAGGTCCATCTCTCCTATATCGTAGTGCCTGAAATGCCTACCGAGAGCAACCAAGGCATCATTTTCTATTTCCTACAGATTTTGTGCTGCTGGATGAGAATCTCCATGTACGGGCCACTTATATTGCCGGCGAAGAGGTCTGGAGACAAGACAACTTCACCCTCTGAAACTGCATTGCTGGATGGGCAGTGCTTCAGACTGAAGGCAGAGGAGGGCCTGGAGTGACCCATAGCTCCATTTTTTTTCCCAAAAGCCTTCTGGTTTGCCTCATTTTTCTCCAGAGATTCTCTTCTAAAGGTCCTGCTTAAACTGAAGCATTGGCTGCCCTCCTTCCTGTGGAGGATGATCGAACTTTTCTTCTCGACTTGATCCAGGTAGCTGTCCCACAGACACAAACTCCTTCCGGAGTTTGACAGGGACCTTTCTCGCTGTAAATCAAGAGACTTACTGTTACTGGGAAACAGCAGCCCCCTCCCCCCCCCAGAGTGCTTCATTCTTTGACTTTCAGTGCAACCTCTTTAATATTTGGATGAAGTTTTGGGGAGGAGGCATCTGCTATGGTCCCACTGAAAGCTAACGCTATACAATACTGTTAAATTGACTGGATTTGCCTAAGCAGCTGATCTAAAAATCTGGGGTGACATTAAACCCCAAGGTAAGGTGCATCCCGCAAAAATCATTTGTTTGACAGCCTCGGAGCCATTTCTGATTACAATTGTTGAAATCTGTAGTATGGGTTTATTTCATTTTGAGTTGGAAAAGTCAAATATACAGAATAAGTTGAAAGGGACTTATGAGATCTTCAAGTCCAAGGCCTTATTTAATGAAAAGAAGGATGAGAGGTGACATGTTCCAATATCTCAGGGGTTGCCACAAAGAAGAGGGAGTCAAGCTGTTCTCCAAAGCCCCTGAAGGCAGGACAAGAAGCAACTGATGGAAACTAACCAAAGAAGGAAGCAACCTGGAACTAAGGAGAAATTTCCTGACAGAACAATCAGTGGAACAACCTGCTTCCAGAAGCCGTGAATGCGCTAACACTGAAGGTTTTGAAGAAGAGACTGGACAGCCGTTTGTCTGAAATGGTATAGGGTTTCCTGCCTGAGCAGGGGTTGGACTAGAAGACCTCCAAGGTTCCTTCCAACATCATTATCATTATTTTGCAAAGTGGGTTTTTTTGGCCTGGTTGCATTACATTTTTTTCTTCTTTTTGACATGCTGCGAATTTAAATTTTCAGGCATTGTGATTCCAGCCATGTAGCAATTTCATCTGATTATTTGGGAAATGTTTTTTAAAAGCATATCTTTTATAAAGGATAATAAAATGTTCAGTCCACAGCTATGTTGTTTCTCCAGCAGAGGGAGATTGTGGTGGATGTTCACATTTAGCAAATCTTTTAGCTGGGATGATTGATCAATTATGTGCCATTAAGTCATTTTTCTACTCCTAACAACCACATAGGTAGCTTTCCTACTGGATGATCAGTGTCTGATCTAGTCCTTCAGGGCTTCCAACAATGCCTAGTGTAACTGAGCGCATCCCCCTTGCTGCTGATCCTCACTTTCCTTCCACCTTTCCCAGCATTAGAGGAAAAAATAAAGGAAAAAAATTCCCCCACTGGATCATTTATGACAGATGTGAATGCAAAACTCTACCACCCTTTCACAAGTTAAGAAAAAATGACTGGTCCGCAAGAACCAACTCTTCAAAGTGTTTGCTTCCAGATTTTTGAGAGACAGCTTGGGTGCTTTAGGCAAAACATTCCCAGGCTGGCGAGAAGAATAGGAATCGTAGTCCAAGCCCCCTGAAGTCCTATTCCAACTCTTTACAGATTCTTTTGAGTGGGACAAAACAACGGACTTCCCAGCCAATCGGAACGGCTTCCAGGCGGAACTGAATTTTCCGGAGCGAGGAGGGGAAGTGGTCCAGCGACGGACCGGTCCCGCCTTGCTCGTGCTTGCGGTGGGATCCCGATGGAGTAACGCACATAAAAGTGTAACGGAGCTGGATTTCGGCTTCAGTATCTTTCGGAGTGGATTGATCCGGATTAGAGCGAAGGAGGAGGAATCCGTGTAAATTTAAGGGGAGAAGGGGGGACTTGGCGCGGCCTGGTCGGGCACGAGACCTGGAGTCGGGAAGCAATTGCCTACTTTTAATTTCAGTTTCCAATGCAACATTATTAAGAGCCAGCCGGGCCGGTTCTCTGCCTCGTTGCAGGAGATGCATGATTTGAGCTTTTGGTTTATATTAACAACCCACTAATGTTTTATTTCTCCGTCCTCCCACGGTTAGCCTTGGCTACGTACTAATTCCTATTATTGTTTTTTGGGGGTGGTTAGGAATTCTAATTGCAAATCCTGTTTAATTTTAAAATAGAGCACGGGTTGGTTTTGTATTTTTAATGACCCGAAAGAGAACTGTAAATAGTGGTATGATGTTACCCAGGAGCAAAATGTATTTGAGTTAAGGATAAGCACCGTTCTCTTGCGGAAAAAAAAAGTGTGTGTGTGTGTGTGTGTGTGTATGTAATTTGTTTATTATTACTTATCAAATTCACAGACCGGCCATCTCATAGAGTCTGGCAGTGTACAATATACCAAACCAAATATAAATATACAAATATATTTATATACAAATATATAAATATGTGTATTATATACAAATATAAATATACAAAAGAAATAGTTTTTCATATATTTATATATACATTTATATGTGTAGATTTAAATATATTTTAGTTAGCTCAAGGCTGCTAACATCCAGTACACCTATTTTCTCTAGAACAGTGCTTCTCAATGTTTGTGTGACGGCGACCCCGTCACACAAACGTTCTGCGCATGCACGGCGCATGGGGGCGGGGGCCCCAATGCGCGGTGCACATGCACGGCGCCCCCATGTGCGACGCGCATGCGTGACGGCCCCCATGCGTGGCGCGCGTGCACGGCGGCGCCCGTGCACGGCAGCGCCCGTGCGCGGCGGCGCCCCCATGCGCGGCGCGTGGCGGTGCCCCCGTGCGCAGCGCCCGTGCACACCGCCGCGAAAAATGGCGGTTCGCCACCTTTGGCGACCCCCGAAAAATGGTCGATCGACCCCAAATGGGGTCGCGACCCATAGGTTGAGAACCGCTGCTCTAGAAGAACAAATTGTGAGGTGACTTGGCCCAAAGTCACCCAACTAGATTTTTATGCCTAAGGCCTGACTAGAACTCACAGTGTTCTTGTTTCTAGACCTGCATCTTCACTACTGCACCAAACTGACTCTCAAAATTCTATATATTCTAAATAAACTTGAGTATCTGAAGACAGGTAGATTCCTTTGTTTCTTATTGCTTGTTTTCTGCTGTTCCAATGACTCCAGAGTCATTCTGGGCCGTCCTATCATTTGCTTGTTTATAGTTTGGTTTGGTTTGATGCCTCCTGGCTCCAGTGACTGGGCAACTCACAATGCACTAAAAAATACAAAAATATATAGTTTAAATCTTTTACACCAATGAAGAAGGCTGGCGGAGAAAACAAATTTTAAAGAATCCTTGAACTAAGCACCTGAGAGCTTTAATGTTTTGGTCACAATAACATACTATAAAGTTATTACTAACGTAAAAGAAAAATGGAATAAAAGAAGAAAATCTGCAAAGAAGAGAACAAGATAATCTACACAATATAGAAAATGTCATTCTTACAAATGCTTATCAGTTATGTAGCAAACATAGTTAGGCCTTTGAAAAAAAAGATGTCCTAGATTTCACGGTAAATGTTTTTTGTGTCCCCTTCCATTATTAGATGAACAGGCGAGAAAATATCTGAAGAACGCTTAGTGCAAAGTTTCTTAATGGAAGAGGTAAGACATGTGTTCCTGGTAAATTGCTTAAGATTGAAGCAATATAAAAGACCCAGAATAGCTAACTAAACATTAAGAGTCCTGCAATTTTAATTACTGTGTAGGAGAAGGGAATATTAGCAAGCATTGCAATTTTGTCACAACCAATGCCACCGGGATTTAAAGATTATTTGAGTTTCACAGACAGGCATGTGCAAACACCTTTTTTAAAAAAAATGCCAGCCCTTAATGCATGTACATTTCCCATTGATCCAGGCTCCCAAACCAACATTTCAGGATGAACTGGAATGGTGCATTACTCAACTGGAGACTGGCCTTTTGCGTCTCAACCCAACTCCAAAACAAGGTAGGTTGGAAACAATAAAACCTAGTAGATCCATTTGAAACAGAGATATCTCAATCTCAGCATTTCTTAAGATATGTGACTTCAACACCCAGAATTCTCTTAACGAGTATGCTGGCTGGGGAATTCTGGGAGTTGAAGTCTACACCTAAGTTGCTGAGGTTGAAAAAACCTGCTGTAGAGCACAGGGACGGAAGTTAATGCCGATTTCTGGCCAAAACTGTAAATTATGGTCATATGATAGTGGGACACTGCAAATGGCCATAAATGCAAACTAGTCAAGAGCTCCAAATGCAGTCACATGACTGTGGGGGACAACCATTGGAACTTCAGAACTGGGTTGTAAGTAGCTCTGGGGAGATCTGTAATGTTAAACAATTGCTAGGCAACCAGTCATAGGACTATCTATAACGCCAGGGTTTCATGAGTAACTGTTAACATTCTTCATCTCTGGTTCCTGAGAGCAGCTGATGAAACACGCCACATCCTTAAGGTATTGCGCTCCCGTAAAGCTCCCCTTGTGAAGAAGCGGCAAATGATGCACCACGCCTTTGGAGATTACCGTCTCAAAATGGCTGAAGAGAACGACAGGGCAGCAAAAGCTGGTGAGCTGTCAGGTCCTGTTTTTTGTGTCAGTCACTCACTCATTCTACTTCTCCCAATTCTTCCATCCTGATGAATATGTCTTTTGGATCTTTCCTGCTCTAGCCACCACTTGAATGTATGTGTCCTGCCTTCTGCATGTCAATAATCCTTCCCTTAAAAAAGTTTTGTTTTCTTTTGCTCTCCCTCCTTTTTCTATGGTTTGCTGTGAGGGCAAAGAAAAGTTGGTTTGGCTTGAGGACAGATCCCTCGTACAGGATCTCTGCAGGTAGAAGGTGGGGTTGTCTGAAAGTTGCTCACCTTTTTCCTAGATCCAAGCAACCTTGTTCCTAAACAAAGACACCAAGTTATAGAATGAAACATTCACATCCCGAGATGCTGTCATCCCGTTTATCATGATACTTAAAAGTCACTAGCAGCTGCTGCAGAGTCAGCCAGAACAGCCTTCTGTAACTTGAAGAGTTCCAGTTATTATGATTTACAGCTTTCGTTTTTGCTGCCTATTGGCCATGCTGGCAGCTGATGAGGGATCTTAGCAACTGGAAATGTACTAGGTCTGGACAAGATGAAGCAAAAGTAGCCAATTGCAGAAGACGAGTGTAAAATTCTGCTCCTTTAATGAACATTAGGAAGCAAAGATGGATATTGGTGAGACTGCTGGGAAAGAAACGGATGAAAATTACTTCAGTCAAAGTGAGCCCTTCATTTTTCTTTTGATGAAATATCCATTCTACTTGCTTTATCTGAGATCCAGCCCTGTTTTCTCTCAGATCCAGCCATTACACTAGCAGCTAAGGATGTGGCCAGAAAAACCGGAGGCGGTCAGCTCATGTGAACATGACAGACAGATAAGGAACCAGAGGAGGAAACTTTGGGGAAAGCCTCAGACATTGATAATATGGCAGGAATATCCCTTTTTCTGTAAGGCTGTTGCCTGTTTTTTCTATCTGCAGATGCCTCGGGATGCTTGTTTTTGCTACTTTTAACAGCTTGAGCTTGATCTTCCATTAGAGAAGCAGGCAAATACAGGTAGTCCTCAACATATGACAGTAATGGAGTTTACCATCTTGCTGTTCACCTGAAGTTCAGTTGTGTGACTGCGGAGATGGCCCAACATTATAAATCTTGGTCGTAAATCCCCTTTTGGGGGTCTGGCATAACTTTGAATAATCCCTAAGCGGCCAGTCATATGTCAAGGACAACCTGTAGCCAACTCATCAACCAAACAGGAAGAGAGGAGACCTTTATCAGGAGGCTGTTACAAGTGCAGCCTCTTCTCTACAGTACTATACACCCAGTTAGGCTTGGTCACTTCTGTAATCTCAAGCCAAATTCCACAACATTTGATTTAATGCTTTGTATACTATATATGACATATAAAATGTGGTGTTTATTTGTTGACAGGTTACGTAGTTTGGTGCATTGGGTGGAGTGTGCTTTGGTAATTTAATGGGCGTGCCCATGTTTCTGTTTCTGCCCTGTAGGTGTGAGGCCTGTGCAGGTAGAAATTCAGCAAGGAAATGTTCTTCCTTTGGGCAGTGTGGTGTACAGGAAGCAATCCAACTGTCCGTCTGCAGTGTCAACTTCCTTATTTGCATCCTCCGATAATAGCTTTCAGTTTAACTTTGATCTACCTGAAAGAACCGCAGAAGAAACTGATAGAACCACAGCAGAAGAACATGAGTTGGGGGACTCTAGAGAACAGTTTACTGGTAACGGTCCCTCTAGGATACTGGACTTCTCCACTGGAACAGGGCAGCCTGGCTTTGCTTTCAACTTCATCATCCCAGATGCTTCTTCAACTTCAGCTGAGGCCACAGATCCTGGCTCTGGAGCTTCAACAGAAGCAGCTCCAGAGATGGACATCCCATCCAAGGAAGCTATGGTGACAACAGAGAAACCAGCTTCTTCACAACCCGATAGAGCTGATGGGATGGACTGTGGAAGCAGACGCAGTGAAGAACATCCTAAAGAAGAGGTACCAAGGTTGGAAGGCACCCAAGTAGGTACGGGGGACCACTAAGTTTTATTAAGCCTTGGAAGGAAATATGTACCTATTGATCTTATACAAATTGGCGACTAATTCCAATGCGAATCCATTTGTTAGTAGAATTGGCTTTTATCTCTGGGTTACAGAGTTTAAAACAGGCAGTCCTCATTTATCTCTGACAATTGGGATCAGCAACTATTGCTGGGCAATGCGGTTGCAAAGTGCAATGTCACATGACCGCACCAGCTTATGACAGCAGTTGTTAGGAAATCCTATGCAATTAACAGCATTCTGCAGGTGTGTAAACGCCATTTGTGGCCTGCTCTCCCCCCCCCCCCAGCTTTGCTTGTTGGAATCCAGCAGTGAAGAGCATAAATGGCAATCACATTACCGCAGAATGCCATGACACTAGAATTGTGAGCCAATTGCCAAGCGCCCAAATCGTGATCACATAATCATGGAGGCGCTGTGAGAGCTGCAGCTAGGAGGATCCTCGTAAATCCCTTAGTTCAGCACAGTCATAACTTTGAACAGTAGCTGAGCCAGTGATCATCCGACTATCTGTAATCCATTAATTATACAACAATAATTTCACAAAATGGGAGATACTTCTCCGTCCCTCCCTGAGTTTTCAGGTAAGTGAAAGATATGCAGAGTAATATCAATCTATTGTTACTGATTAAAAATAGCAAATGATTAAGGTTTTAAAAAATCATTGGTACGCAGCTTCAGCAGAGGTTGCAGAAAAGAAATTGATGGTGGCAGCTGGTGGACCATCCAAGAGAAAGAAGAAGAAGCCCACACCGTCAAAAGTAGCCCAGGTTGACAAAGGACATGGAGACAACAAGCTTGGTGGGCAAGGAGCGTCTGATCAAGCTGAGATGTTACAGGCATGTAAAGACCAAGTTGAATGTGGGATAAGAATGTGAGTAAGTTAAGGCAGGGGTCTTCCAACATGGCCCTTTAATGACTTGTGGACTTCAACTCCCAGAATTCCTCAGCCAGGCACACGTGCCTGGCTGAGGAATTCTGGGAGTTGAAGTCCACAAGTCATAAAAGGGCCACGTTTGAAGACCCCTGAGTTAAGGATTGGTTGTGATAATCAGTGATGCAGGAGCATTCATTTGCCCTCCCATTAAGTCTCTGCAGTAATTTATGTTTATCAGTAGATCGTTCAAGATGGAAAGTCAAGGGGCCACTATGGTTGCGTTTCAAAGTAGCTTGCCTGAAGGGTCTTCAGATCTTCCATCTGACCTCTTCCCCTGTTTGAATTCAGTGGGCAACAAGCCATCGTGGGTTTTTTGGGTTTTAGAGGAGGGAGTTGTGTGAACTCAGTCACTCTGAGTTATAAATTAAGATTTCACATTCTATAATGCAGTTAAAAAACGAGGGTTTAGCATGGCGCCAGAACCAAGTCTGTACCTCTGACTTGAAATGTAGCTACCAAACCTAGGGAATTCTGGGATTCCACACACCTTAAAGTTGCTCAGTTTGGGAACCACTGAGTTAGACAACTCTAGTGAGATACTGTAACTTAGAGAAACAAGATGGTAGAAGTAGTTTACCTTCCAATGCCGTGCTCAACTAATTTTTGTTTCCCCTCCCCCTGAACAGCCAGATGATCAATTGAAGAGAGAGATAGACTGGTGTGTGGAACAGCTGGAACTCGGCCTGAAGACTCAGAAATCCACCCCAAAACAGAGTGAGTTGGCTTGCTTGGAATCAATTGTTTGCTTATTTATTTAATTCAACTTAAGCATACCTTCCACCTCCAACTAACTCTGGGCAGATCACAATAGATTACCCTAAAAAAAAAAAATCCAATAGAAGCCAAAACAAGATTGGGTTCGTTGGATCTTGATCAAAGAGAGAAGCAACCTGGAATTAAGGAGAAACTTCCTGACAGTGAGGACAATCAACCAGTGGAACAGCTTACCCATCGCTGGAAGTTTTTAAGAAGAGACTGGACAGCCATCTGTCTGAGACGGTATAGGTTCTCCTGCTTGAGCAGGGGGCTGGACTAGAAGACCTCCAAGGTCCCTTCCAGCTGTATTCTATTCTATTCTAATCTATGCAGATGGACACAGAAATAACAAGGACATACCCAGCAAGGTGTCTCATCCATCTCAACCTGAGGCCCGAGAGAACAAACAAGTCTTTAGGATTTTAGGGACCGCCAACAGGGTGGGAGGTCAAGTGGATTTCAAGGCAGTGGTGATCAAAAAGAGATAAATAGTTTTTACTACGATGGTGAATGATTCTCCATAGCAAAGAATCTTGCAGCAGTCAGCAAACCTTGAATTATTTCAAACAAAGACAAGCAGCATTTAGATGGAAGAATCTCCAGGTTAGACTGGGAAAATAAAAAAACAACAACATATTATATCATGGCAACAGCCAGTCGCATCCATACTGATGCCAGAAAGAAAGCTACATTAGCCACCAAGAGTCAAATCTGACTTGATGGGGACTTTACCTTTTTCTTGATCGGCTGTCCAAGCCAGACCTTTTCCACTCCTGATACTTTGGAGCTGAGGAGAAGAAAAAGGCAGAATTTTGTGGATGTCATTTCTCATCTTCAGTAAGGATAAGGTCCCTGGGTCCTCCAAGTTCCATCAGCCTTAAACATTGGCCATGTTGGTGGAGTATATGAAACTAGATATGAGATTTTACTCAAACATAATCTGTTTTAACAATGTATGGAAGGTCGCAGTTCCTAAACTTGTCCTAGAGTCTGGGAATTCCTACTCAGAAAGAAAAAAGCAATAAGCATCTTTCCTGACAGTAAGAAAAAATAACCAGTGGAACTGCTTGCCTCCAGAAGTTGTGGGTGCTCCATCACTGGAGGTTTGTAAGAAGAGATTGGACAGCCATTTGTCTGAAATGGTATAGAGTTTACTGCTTGAGCAGGGGGGGGTGGACTAGAGGCTCTTCAAGGTCCCTTCCAACTCTGTGATTCTGTTATGTAGGCACTTTTTGTTATCGCAGTCTTTCCTGTTCTGCAGTTGTGGCCTTTCCCAATCGCTTACTCTCATCCTGTCACTGACCTTGATTGAACAATGGAACAGTCCTGGTTCATTTCTTATTTCGAGGATGCTCCTTCCAGGACTGTCAACATCCTGTCAAGAAGACTTAAAAAATGCAGGGTGTATTCCAACAATATCACGACGTTGGAGATATCGAATGACAGTTTCAGAAGCAGACAGCAACCAGTGAGAACTTAACCAAACTTATTCCCTTCTGAATTTTACCTTGGGGAGAAAACAGATTCGCTGCATTTATTCATTTAGCAGGTTTTTTAAAGTGTGTGTCGTATTTAATTTTCCACCACCCTAAATGCATAGTCCTTGATTTACAATAGTTCACTTAGTGACCATTCAAAGTCGCAACAGCGCTAAAAAAAGTGACTTAGGACCATTTTTCACACTTATGACCGTTGCAGCTTCCCCATCCTCACTTGATTTACGTTCAGATACCTTGACAACCGACTCACATTTATAATGGTTGCAGTGGCCTTGGGTCACGTGACACAAACACACACACACACACACACACACGTTTTGCGACTTTCTGACATGCAAAAGTCGATGAGGAAAGCCAGATTCACTTAACAACCAGGTTACTAACTCAACCCCTGCAGCGATTCACTTAACAACCGGGGCGAGAAAGATCGTAAAATGGGGCAAAAAGTCACTTAACAAATAGGGAAATTTGGGGCTCGTAAGTTGAGGGCTAATTGATGGAAAGTCGCCGCGTGGCCTCTGAAGGAGTGTGCATATTTTTGCTGCACGTCCTGCTGAGATGCCCCCCAGCTCTTGACGTCCTTGACTTCTTCCACAGCGGAGGAAGCTCTCCGCGCCATCAAGACACTGCGCAGCAAGAAAGCCGTGCTGGCGAAGAAGCTCCAAGTGATGAGGCTGATGCTGGGCGACTACAGAGCGAAAATGGCCGAGGAAAGGCAGAAGCAGTTGAAGCTCTTGCAAGCAGGTAGGGAGAAAGGAGTTATTTATTTATTTATTTATTAGACTTTTTAAAATCCCAATTTTATTACTTTACAGGCAGGGACCAGGCTGCAATCGAGAAACAGCATTGGAATATAAATATTGTATTCATTCATTCATTCATTTGTATCCCACCTTATTATTTTCGCAAACAACTCAAGGCGACGAACGTATCCAACACACTTTCCTCCTCCTGTTTTCCCCACAACAGCAACTCTCTGAGGTGGGCTGGGCTGAGAGAGAGGGACTGACCCAAACTCACCCAGCCAGCCTGGATGCCTTAAGGTGTGACTAGAACTCACTGGTCTCCTGATGATTGGCCCATAGTCACCCAGTTGGCTTTCGTGGCCAAGGTGGGACTAGAACTCACCATCTCCTGGTGATGGGCCCATAGTCACCCAGTTGGCTTTCGTGGCCAAGGTGGGACTAGAACTCACCATCTCCTGGTGATGGGCCCAAAGTCACCCAGTTGGCTTTCATGGCCAAGGTAGGACTAGAACTCACTGGTCTCCTGATGATTGGCCCATAGCCACCCAGTTGGCTTTCGTGGCCAAGGTGGGACTAGAACTCACCATCTCCTGGTGATGGGCCCAAAGTCACCCAGTTGGCTTTCGTGGCCAAGGTGGGACTAGAACTCACCATCTCCTGGTGATGGGTCCAAAGTCACCCAGTTGGCTTTTGTGGCCAAGGTGGGACTAGAACTCACCATCTCCTGGTGATGGGCCCAAAGTCACCCAGTTGGCTTTCGTGGCCAAGGTGGGACTAGAACTCACCGGTCTCCTGGTGATGGGGCCATAGTCACCTAAGTGGCTTTCATCCCTAAGATCTAGAACTCACCTCTCCCATTTTCTAGCTTGGTGCCTTAACCATTAGACCCAACTGGCTGTCTTCCTAAGGGTTAATATATGGAAGACAACATCCATCAAATTACAGAGCACTCCAGTATGGCAAACTAGTTGCTCATTAGGTCTAGTTTTTAGTAGTACGATGTTTCCAGAAACAAAGTAAACATAGAGGCTGATTTCCAGCCTGTTTTCATCTTCTGGGAGTTGAAGTCCACAAGTCACAAAAGGGCCACGTTTGAAGACCCCTGAGTTAAGGATTGGTTGTGATAATCAGTGATGCAGGAGCATTCATCTGCCCTCCCATTAAGTCTCTGCAGTAATTTATGTTTATCAGTAGATCGTTCAAGATGGAAAGTCAAGATGCCACTATGGTTTCAAGCAGCTTGCCTTGCTTGAGCTAGCAAGAGAATTCTGGAAAATAAAAGGCACAGAGAGAGTAGCGAATGTCAGCCTTCTGAAGTGTTTTAGTTAATCTTTCATCTCTATCCTTCCACCCCTTTAAGCTTCAAAAGCAGCTCACATCGCAGAAGTGAACGAAGAGACTCGGAAGAAGAGAAGCCAGGTGTTCAGGAAGTCCGCAGAAGGGGTCAGAACCTTCCAGAACCTCCAAGAACCTTCTTGCCATCAACCCCCAGCTTGTCTCAGATCAACAGACCCTTCCGCTTTTACATTCAGGCCATCGCAGGAGGAATTCTGCTTCAACTTTTTCTAAGCAACCCTATGAATTTTATGAATTCCGTGGTAAATTTTATGCAGCACAGGCATACCTGATTTGACGTATTTTTCTATGCAAACGGTTTACTAACGGGTGCAAGTGATTGAGAGTTAAGAGTCGCCTGACAGTGAGATGGGTGGCTTATAAATTTTATAAGTAAGTAAATAAATGAACAAGATAATAGCATATATGCTTTCTTTCTTTCTCTCTCTCTCTCTCTCTCTCTCTCTCTCACACACACACACACACACACACACACACACACAACCTGCAAGCAGATGGAAAATCAGGCACGAAGACGTGAAAATTATCATGGCTTTTTGGATACTCCATTCTTTAAATTCTTCAAATTTTTTAGATGAAAGCCCAAGCTTATGCGTGCCAGTGATTGTCAGCTGATTGACAATAACCAAGTTCAATTTCTCAGCCTTTAAACAAATACCTTGATCTGCAAACTTTCTATGCAGAAATAGATTTTCCTGGCATGGAGAGAATTAGGGCTTCGCCACTCATTCCTGTATGCCAATGCTCGGAAGCACAGCTGATTTAACTTTCGCGTAACTTAGGCACTTTAACAAAATCTGGATTTCAAAAAGGATTGCCTACTCTTGATTCACCAAGCTTTGTGAGAGCATTTGGATCTTGGCCACTGCATTTATCATTTTGAAACAATGGAGCTGTTTCTTGGGAGATTCCCACGACCTGCGCTAAGATCAGGGAATCCAATCTGTCTGTGCAAACTATGCATGACTTAAAACTTTGTTTGATTTTTCTCTCAGCAACGGAGCATAGCAAGCTCCTGAGCAGATCAAGGTATTGTTTCCATTGAATCAAAATTCAAATAAACAGATCCAGGCTCTTGGCTTTTTTTTTTCTTTTTTTTTGAAAACTCATTTCTGGAGCAGAATAGGTCGTTCTCAGCTTGCAACTGTTTGTTTAGCAACTGTGACTTACAAAACCAGTCCTTAACACTTAACAACCATTGTAGCATCCCCACAATCACGTGCTCAAAATTTGAGTGCTTGATATTAATGAGATTTGGAGCAAATCTATTCTTAAATCAAGTGGCACGTTGGATGAATCTAGCCATTATAATGCATACTCCATAGTTAATCACTTAGCCTGATGTATGAACCCAACCATTGTCTACAGAAAATCAGTCTTTGGTTAGGCAGTTGTGGCTATTTAGGAATTCTGAGAGAGAGAGAGATCAACCACTCAATTATCTTTTATCTTCCTGAGGAAATAAGAACAAACCAGACTTCATCAGCTAGCAGCCTTCAAATCAATACCTTCAGAAATTTTCTTCTAAAAAAACTGTTGGGAGGAACAAGGTATTTCTTATTTTAATAGAATAGAATTAGAATAGAATATTGGAATGGAATGAAATAGAATTAGAATAGAATAGAATGTAGAGTAAGAATGAAATAGAATAGAATTGGAATGGAATAGAATAGAATAGAATATTGGAATAGAATAGAATATTGGAATGGAATGGAATAGAATATTGGAATAGAATAGAATATTGGAATGGAATATTGGATTGGATTGGAATGGAATGAGAATTGAATTGAATTGAATTGAATTCTTTATTGGCCAAGTGAGGTTGGATACACAAGGAATTTGTTTCCAGTGCAGAAGCTCTCAGTATACAAGCAACAAGTGATAAATCACAGGTGCCATATTTTCATTGTTAATTTATCCCAAGGGGTCCCAAAAAAAGGACTTCTAATATGCAGCTGATGGTGAACCTTTTAGAGTCCGAGTGCCCAGCTGCAACGCAAAACCCACTTATGCATCGTTGGGTGATGGGTGAGTGTGGCCCATTGGCTGGGTGTGGCCCATTGGGTGGGCGTGGCTGCGGTGGTAACGGCAGACTAGGTGGGACTAAAAAGTTCAATCAATCAATTCCAACTTTGCAAGATCTTTTTTTTTCCCTGCAAGAAATTGAAATTGACTGATTGATTGAACCTTTTTTTTTTCTTGCACACTGCGGCGGAGGCCTAAAGCGAAAAGGTTTTATAAAACCCAGCTGAAGGCCTAGGACTGGGACGATGGTGCGTGTGCCCACAGAGAGGGCTCAGAGTGCCGCCTCTGGCACCTGTGCCATAGGTTCACCACCACTGCCTTAGTTGGTAAGTTCATTCTCTAAAGTCGTAGTACCTTAAATGCTTTCAATCCTCTAGAAAGATGTGACTTACAGTTTATTTAGTGACCGTTCAAAGTCACAACAATACTGAAATCAGCGACATCATTTTCCACACAGAACGGTTACAGCATCCCTGTGGTCACGTGATCAAAATTGACATGCTTGGCAACGGACTCATATTTATGACGGTTGCAGTGTCCCGGCGTCACGTGATCCCCTTTTGCGACCTCCTAAGTCAATGGGAAAGCCAGATTCACTTACCCAACCACGTTACTAACTTAACCACTGCAGTGATTCACTTCACAACTGTGGCGAGAAAGGTCGTAAAATAGGGCGAAACTCACTTCAATCTCTCGCTGAGCAACAAAAATCTTGGGCTCAATTTGGTCGCGAGCCGAGGACTGCCTGTACCTTGAATTGCTTCCAAGCCCCGTACACGCTTGGTGATCTTTCTGCATCTCTTAAAGCGTTTAGGTGGTAAGGAAAAAAAGTTTGGTTGTAGGAACAGGCTATTTTAAAAGCTGTGACTGAGTGGTCAGCAAGTCAGGTATAAAAGAAAATATAGACAGTATCTCGATGTCGCTTTTCCTCCTTATAGCTCTGGCGTTCTCTCAACAGTAACCAAAAACGTCTGGCAGGAACTCAGCTATGCCCTCATAACTGCTTGCAAGTTTGGCTTGCAAGATTCGTCTCCTCCAGCCAGCCCTTCTCATTCACTTTTTGGCCCTTGAGACCGACTTTGCAATGATGAACGATAGATAGTGACCCTCTTCCTGGATTGGCTAAAGATGGGGGTGGGTGCCATCTTTTAATTGGCCCATTGACTAGATTCCTATGGAATAGCTAATGGAGGGGTCTTGAAAAAGGAGTCGTAGGAGAAAGAGCTTGACTTCAACAGCCATATAAAGCAACTGACGTCCACTTCCTGACAAGCAAAATATCCTTGGAGATAAATTGAAGAGATTTCAAGATTTCTAATTTCTGGTGGTGCTTACAATTCAAAAGGCTGGGTCTTCTAGCCTGGCAAATCATTTTTAAAAGTAGCTTTGGCTTATATGTTCGATTCTGCATATATATATATATATATATATATATTTAAAGGAGAACATTTTTGAATAAGCATCCTTTGGTTAATTGATTTACAAGTCGTATGAACAAAATCAAAAGTATTCCGGACCTGATCACGATCATCACAGCTTAACATCTTGGATTTTGAAAATAAAACACAAGGCTATTTAAACATTGTAGGACTTGTATATTTGAAATATCAAAGGAGCTTTGGACAATTGTGGGAAACCATTCCTGAACCTGATTGATATTTTTGGCTGGGGAACGGATCCCGCTGGTCTGAAGAATCACCTAGCATTCACCAGCGAGCAGGGAAGCAGCAACGGCAAACCAGCTTTATGAGAACATGGAAACAAGCTTTTTTTTTTTAATTCATTAACAAACCATCTCAGAATCTAAGAAAAAGGGGGTCCTTCTGTAACTTGCATACGATTTAAGGTTCAGTTGTGTTTGCTGGTGGAGAACATCTAAGGTGGACAAAAGTTCTTTAAGCAAGGAAGTTCTAACTTCAATTTCCCAAAATATCCGCTGGAACAGATTTATTTGAGCTCTTAATTTGGAGTATTGTAAGCTTCCCCCCCCCCACTAAAGAATCGTGAAAAGTTGCTCAACCCAGCACCAATTTTGCTGTTTGCTGCAGCAATATTCAAAGTTCTGGCTGAAGTTGGGTTCCTGAATCTGCTAGAATGGAAGAGGTCTGGGTTGTCTACCTGTGCATAATTTTGTTTGTCTTAATATTTATACTGATGAAGCAGAAGCCAGATGATGAGATCAAGAGAAACCCAGATAATGAGAAGCCTTCAACCTCCTATAGTCAGTTGGTCAGCGGTGCCGGAAGAGTTCTGGAATACACAGAAGAAGAGCTGGAGGCCTCCATGCAGAAGCTAAGCGGTCTTTTGTTTAGCCCAGATACCCACACGAAGCATCCTCACTCTGATCACAGAGCCCACCATACGGAATCTGCAGGAAAAGAGCATCAGGTGAGCCACGATAAAATCCAGATAATAATAATAATGATAAAGTTGGAAGGGACCTTGGAGGTCATCTAGTCCAACCCCCTGCTCAGGCAGGAAACCCTATGGTACCATTTCAGACAAATGGCTGTCCAGTCTCTTCTTAAAAACCTCCAGTGCTGGAGCATTCCCAACTTCTGGAGGCAGATTGTTCCACTGGTTAATTGTTCTCACTGTCAGGAAGTTTCTCCTTAGTTCTAGGTTGCTTCTCTCCTTGATCAGTTTCCATCCGTTGCTTCTTGTCCTGCCTTCAGGCGCTTTGGAGAATAGCTTGACTCCCTCTTCTTTGGGGCAGCCCCTGAGATACTGGAACACTACTATCATGTCCCCCTTGTACTTCTCTTCGTTAAACTAGACATCCCCAATTCCAGCAATCATTCCTTATATGTTTTAGCCTCCAGTCCCCTAATTATCTTTGTTGCTCTTCTCTGTACTCTTTCTAGAGTCTCAACATCTTTTTTACATCATGGTGACCAAAACTGGATGCAGTATTCCAAGTGTGGCCTTACCAAGGCATTGTAAAGTGGTATTAATACTTCACGTGATCTTGATTCTGTCCCTCTGTTAATGCAGCCTAGCACTGTGTTGGCTTTTTTGGCAGCTGCAGCACACTGCTGGCTCATATTTAAATGATTGTCCACTAGGACTCCAAGATCCCTCTCACAGTTACTACTATTGAGCAAGGTACCCCCTGTACTATACCTGTACATTTGGTTTTTCTTGCCTAAATGTAGAACCTTACTTTTTTCACCACTGAATTTCATTTTGTTAGATAGCGCCCAGTGTTCTAGTTTGTCCAGACTAGATAAAATGAGATAAAGTGTAACAGAGGGGGTGGACTTCAGTTTTATGGAATCTCTGAGGTCCTCAGCCTTCAAGGTGTAACCAACAACAAGGTCATTCAGACTGGGGATACCTTCTCCAATCTACTTACCCACCTTTGGGGTAACTGCATA